TAAACCCTAAACCCTAAACTTCTAATTCCCTAAACAAAAACATAGAAGACTCGCTCGAGCCCTCGAGCTTCCGTGGCCCCTCGCAGCTCACATGTCCACTCTCGTTTTTTGACCCTTAAAAAGCGTTCTTGTCTGGCTTTTCCTTTGTGCTCCAAAAGCGTTCTCGTGTGCTTTCTCCTTCTGTGTCTGGAGAGAACATCAGGTTTGAACCCAGGTTTGAAAATGGATTTGGTTTCATTTTCTTTTGATTTTTTTCGCTTTTTTTAAGAAAAATTCGTGGGATTTCTTCTTTTTTGTGTCTTAAGAAGGTGTTTGTGTCTGCAAGTTTGAGCATGCGCAGATTGATAATTTGGAACTTGTGAGAAACTGCAGTGTGGGTCTGCCCATGGACAAATAGAGCACAGAGCAAAAGATTCAATAAGTCAGTAACTCAGTTTCTGAAGTGAGTTGGACACTCCAGTTTAGGAAAAAAATATTCACGTTTAATTGAAAATATTAGTTACCGTGTTTTTTTGGTTGTTGTCTGTCTTCAGAAAAGCTGTAGTGTGCGAAATTTGCGGAAGTGTGGGTGCTGCCAGACACGCCTTGTGTTCTACTCCAAGGGACTCTGACACCCCAGTGAAAACGCAAGTGCGCGGAAGCGTGTGCGCTCGTGTGCGGTTCTGATCCAACTCCAGTCACCCATGCAAGTAAATTTTTTCCAACATTTTGCAAACGCAGTGACAATTCGCTGAATCAAACAAAGACAATGCAACAAAACAGTTGAGTTTTGGCGAGTTTCTAATCCTGGGTTGTTGGAACCAGATCGATTAGTTAGTCTCACCACTGTGAGAGCGAGAAACAAGTGTACAAAGGGAGTGTGACTCTTCACTTTCACAGGGCTTCGTTCTTTTTCCACAGAGGTCCTACGCAGGTGGAGTCCCTGCCACAAGAATTCATTTGGGGACAATTTCGTCGCTTGAACCGTAAGCTTGAAAAAAGACAAGGCTTGCGGACATGTCTTAAGTCGCTAGTTTGGAAAAAAGATTCGCTTGGGGGGCCACGATACCTTGTTCTTTCAATCGGCTCAATGCCCAGTGGATTTGTGTTTGGAGTTGCATTTGTGTAACGTGCAGCACGTTGCAATATATCAGCTTTTCATTGTTGAAACATATTGAAACATGAAGCATTGCATCGCAGAATGAGGCTTTGGATTTTTGTAGTTTTGTCATTGTTCGAGCTTGATCGTGTTGCTCCCCACGTTGGTTTTAGGTTGCCCTAGATGCAGCCAGTTCAAGTTTAACAACCACCCCAAAACCTTTATTTGACAACTTCAAATCCGGATGGTTCAGGCTGGTTCTGCTTTTCTGCTCGAAATCATGTGTTTAGAAACCACAGGTGGAAACTACTTAGTCTGCAAATCGACGCTTAGATAAATCCCAGGTGCTTTCCAGATGGTTGTGTTTGAAGGCATGGTCGTTGCTGTTCCCTAACCCTCCAGGTACCTATTATATAGGGCCCTAGGGGCTCCAGTACCCTATATAGTAGGTACCTGGGGGGTTTAGGGGTTTCTGGCTTCGAAACTCGTTAGTGTGAGTTCCCAAGCTGCAGCCTGGCTGGATTTTTGCAACATTGATCTCGCACATTGGCATCTCATAGCGATAGCGCCCTCCTTGAGCAAGAATATCGGGGTTGATTCAACTTTAGTCTTAAGAATGGCCCCGCCTGAGCTTTTAGTGCAGAGAATTCGAAGTGTATGGGGTGTTTGCATGTCTGGCTGGAATGAAGGTGGAACAGGAGCGTGTGGCAAAGTAGAGTCGGTCTCGTCTTGCGTGAAAAAGTCACAAGCCTCCACATCCCAATCTTGGCAGGACCAAGCTGGGAGGAGCACCACGCGCAGCTTGATGCCCTGATCGCGCAGTTGCATGCATGGCCCTCATTTGTTGTTGCATTCTTCTTTGGTGCCTGCTTTGACCTTGGAGGCCAAAGCATGGGTAGTAGCCGGAGGGCAAGCCAAGGCTCCATCCACAAACACAGCTTTGAGTTACTATTGCGTGGAGTTGCAGGATCAATCCGCAACAGGGAGACTTTCCAAAGGCCGCGACAGCCGTTTGCAGGAGACTGTATGCCAAGACTGCCTGAAGAAACATGATCACCCTCAGCATATTGGCCCAAAGTTCTCACAACCTTGCAATCCGTTTGAATGACAGAGATCACCTCGGATTTTTCAGCTGCCCTCAACGGTGCGATTGAGCGCCTGGACACACTCCAGGTCAAGGGGCGGTATTTCACCCAACGGGTCTTGCAGGACGACTTCGAAGTGAGCGGGGACATTTTGGGAACAGGGTGTAGTGGTGCTGTCCTAGCGGCCAAAAGTCGCCACAGACCCGGACGCTTCGCGGTGAAGGCCTATGATCTGCAGTACCTCGATCCGGGTCAAAAAGAACGTCTGGCGGGAGAGGTAGCAGTCTTTCTCAGTTTGGATCACCCGCACATCGCTCGTCTTTTCTCCGTTTATGAGACCAAAGACCAACTCAGCCTTATCATGGAACGCATGGACGGTGGCGAGCTCTTTGAACGTGTTTGCCAGACCGATCGCTTTAGTGAGAATGATGCTGCGCAAGCCACTTGGCACATGCTTCAGTCGGTCAGCTACATTCACAGTCGAGGGGTGGTTCATCGTGATCTTAAGCTCGAGAACTTCCTCTACGACGCTCCGGGAAGCGATTTCCTAAAGCTCATCGACTTTGGCTTCAGCAAGTTCTTCCCCAATGACCAGAAGATGAGAGAAGCCATGGGAACACTGGCCTACGTTGCTCCAGAAGTATTGCGACACCGCTATGCTCGTGGGAGTTGTGACATGTGGAGTCTCGGCGTAATCGTCTTCATTTTGCTAAGTGGGGAGATGCCGTTCCATGGCCGCACAGATGCTGACACTGCACGCAAGATCAAGGCCGGCAAGTACAAACTGCACTGGAGCAAGTGGTATAATATTTCCAAGCGAGCGAAAGACTTTCTTGAAAAGCTGCTGGTCGTATGTCCCAAGAAACGGATGGACGCTGTGGCAGCCCTGCAACATCCATGGATTACATCCTTGGTGATGGCTCCAGCCGTTCCGGGAAGCGTGGTGACATGCTTCTTGAACTTCGCACATGCTACCAAGTTTCAGAGGTCCCTTGTTTTGAACAAGTGTTACTCGCAATGCAACGCGTAGATCATGCCTCGGGAGGGTTCGACCCGGAAGTTCAATTTGGTGAGTGTTCTCGCGTTCATGACAGATCACTCTCGTGGTGGACGAACGTGACTGCAGGTTTAAAGTACACAGTATGCGTCCCTTGGGCGAAGCCGTTGAGACCTGCAGAAGGGCTGCTAGCAATCAAGAGCCCTTCAGAAATCTCAGCCTGACTGCAGGGCCTGTTTGCAAGCAATGGCTTGGAGCCTGACGCTGGAGGAGTGTCAGGGAAGTGAAGCTCTCTGTGGCTAAAGCAAGTTCCTGCAGCCTTCTTCAATCATCCATAACTGCTGGAGGAGCGACGCAAGCTGCGTGGGGATTTCATCCACCTGAGCCGCCAAGGAGTCATCAAGCAGCAGCATCTTCGAGTGTCAGGGCTTGAATGGGCAGTGAGCAGCAGTGTGCGGTACCCGATTCCCTGACTAACACTCTATGTCCCCGGCTAAACGACCCTCCCCCAGCTCAAGGTTGTTCATGACCATTTAAGCACCAAGGAGTTTTTGTCAACGCAGATGCAAGAAGATTCGGACAAGCACCGGGAAGCATTGCGGGCCCTCGACATTCTGCAAAACCAGACTGGTGATGACATCAGCTACAGTAGCTTCCTGGCTGCCATGATCGCGTGCACGAAGCTGGAGGAGACTTCGCACGCAGCCAAGTCGGCATTCCGTCGTTTCGATCACACTGACAGTGGGTATCTAAGCCCCGAAAAGCTGCGTGAAGTCGCTCGGCTGGTTTAGAAGCCGTTAATTTACGCCAGGCACAGCAGCTTGGAAGAAGTCATTCTAAGCTCCCTTGCAAGGTGCTCGGGGAGGATTTCGATGTGGAGGTGATTTTCAAGGAGGTGGACCGCGACCAGGATGGCAAGATCAACATCGACGAGTTCTTAGCTCACCTGAATGATGTCCAAAGTGCTGCTGTTGAACGATCCCTAAGTGATGGTCATGCGCTGTGTGCATGCAAATCGCAAAAGTCGAAGCCACACAGATTTTCGAGGCGTGTCAAAGCTTGGTTCGGAGCGCTTTGCGGGGCATAAGTAAAGAGGCCGTCTCGCAAGGCTGAAAGCATGAATGTACAGAGCCCAGCAAGGCCAAGATCCCGTTTGTCGAGGATCTTGTACAGATTGGTCTGTGAAAGAGGCTGTGCTGAGGACTTCTGGCCGTTTTGGACCTCATACTTTGTCTTCCTTCCATCCTGATCATCTTTGCAAAAAGACACATGTGGGCTGAAATGTAAACCTCTGGGACATCCCGGGAGAACAGCTTGAGATCCTGCTGGTCAGGTTTGGCTGCGGAGGCAAGCAAGCAGGGGATGATTCCAAGTGTTGCGCAAGATTTCATTTTAAGTCAGATTCAGGTAGAATATAGGTGGTCAGATACTTGACAGGGAGCCTTGGACGTCTGCTATCGTGACGAAGGTGCATCATGTGTGCACTCGAGAAGCATCCTTTTTTCGACAATTATTGGTTTGCTCTGCATGGAATCGTGCGGGGTTGTGCTGTGCAGGTGTGACTGGATCATTTTCGCGTCTGGTCTTCCTGGCAGTTATTGCATCCACGGATCGGGTGAACTTGCAGAAAAGAAATCTGTGCGTCAGGGAATTCCACAGCCGCACCCTCCTCGCCTGCAGTCCGAACCGCTGCAGCCCAAGGGCATGCAGCACAGCTGTGCGCCAGCCTCTTGTATCGCTTGGGAAAAGACATGCTTGGAAACATGACATTGCAAGTTCTGCCGTGTTTCGCTTTGACGTACTGAAAAAGTCGCTCAGGTCACTAGATGCATGTTGTAGCCTCCCTGGCTTGCCGAGGGTGTTGGAGATAGTAGGAGGGGAAGTATCATTCGCATGTGAATTGTCGTACCTGGGTCCCGGAGCACTGACAAGGCCCAGCAAGCCGAACCCACCGGCGGATCTCGAGCACGACCACCTCAATAGGTCGGGATGCATTGCGGCATGATTCACGTTTCTGGGCTTGTCACACAACTATTGCCGACTATCGGCTTACACTTAGTCTTTCATTCCGCACGGGCTCAGATGCGCTCCACTCAAGAACAGACTTGATTACCCCATGCCGGAACTTGATGCCGCCATCCTGTCAGCAAGCTGTCGCACTGGCACATGCAGTCGCACTGGCACATGCACGCTAGGAGGCACTTCCCGGACGTGATGCCACTGCTGCAGCAGGCTTACTGAAGGATCTGCGCAAACTCAAAGCCCTGTGCAGGTATTTTTCTAGTAGACATCGGATTGACAGTGGACGATGGGAGCTTGTCCTCGCTGTCGCCACTATTCTCAGGGAGGGTTTGCTCAAACATGGCGACTGCCTTCGGTTCAGGAGAAGCGATTTTTCTGGGGTTTGTCCTCTTGAATCGGACAGTCTCACACAAATCGCTCTTTTTGCATTTTTTGCTTCCGCAATATGCCTACATCCGACAGGGAAGGGACGCTGCGAATATAAAGAAGATAGGAAGAGGGAAACCACCCTGTCATCGCCTGCCATGGCATACATCACACTATGACATTCACGATATGTGCGTTGTGCAGCGTTGCTTCAGCTTACAAACTTTTCTGGTGCATGGCACTGCACCACGCTCAGTGTCTGGAACAGCCCACTGTATTGCATTTTTTTCCCGTGTCTGTGTGATCCGCGGCATTCCGTGTGTTGGCCTGGGCGCTTTTGCTGGACTCCGTACCTTCCGGCATGGCAATCTCCTCCATTGTGCCGGGTTATAGTTTGTCCATCTTCTGTCTGTATTGCTTCTTGCTTTCGCCACGGAATCTCAGTGTCGGTTGCTGTCGTGGCATCATCTTTTGTTCGGTGCTGCATGTCATGCATCGGTTCCTACCTCTCCGTCGTCGTGATGACTGAAGCAGAGGCTAGAGAAGGACGAACGGACCCGAGGTTGCAAATGGACATGGTTCAATAATTTCGTTGTGGCACACATCCTTTTTCTACGCTAGACCGGTCCCAGATCAGGCCTGTTTAGATCTGGCATGCCCTCAGCTTCACCGACACATGCCCAAAAGCCTCATGGGCCGCTCCTTCGATAGAAATGAGAGATGCCTGAGAGGCGCAGAAGCTCTCAGTCGCATCTGATCAGCCCCGACCATGGTCGCATGCTCTCTTTAGGGTTTAGGGTTTAGGGCTTCGTGTAGGGGTCGTCACCTTTACCGGCTGTCCCGTTCCATTCTCAATACCCGAAAAAAGCACGCTCTGCCGCTCTGCAACGGTAGTCTGCTGGCATTTTATAATGTTTTTTTCGATTTTCCATGCATCTTTTGGTGCAGAGTTGGCTCTTATGGGGAAGTTTTGTAGCACTCGAGGGGCCGGCCTGGGGGGCTTCGCTTGATGGCCGATGGCGCCTCGAGTACACAGTGGGAGATCTCTGCCAAACAAGCCGATGAAGAGCTTCAGAAAAAGAAGCTCCCGATCCTCTCCGTTGCATTCAACGGCGAGACTGTGCTCACAAGCTCCTCAAGGCCGACAGTGAAGCTGTGGAGGTTAGGCGACGAAGGGCTCAGTGCTACAGGTGCGCTGGAAGTGCAAGACGAGCTGAACGGAGCTGCAGCTGCTCCTAGTTCACTTGATGTCTTTCGGGATATGGCAGCGATCTGTACACAGGACGGGAATGTTCTGCTATGGGACCTGCGGAACCCGAAGGACCCCTCAAGTCGCCTGGACCTCATACAGGGGCAAGGAAGTATAATACGCTTTCTGCCCGATGGTAATCGACTGGTCTCCGGTAATAACGTTTCTGGTAGGCTGTCCATTTGGGATCTGCGGCAGCAAAGAGTCGAGAGAGAGCTGCCCGTGAATTCCGTGGGCGCGGAAGTCAAGAACGGTGACGAGGAGAGACCGAGCAAGTCTCGTCGCACCTTCGTACCGCAAGCTGACAGCCCCATCACAGCCATGTGTGCAAGTGGCGACGGTCGGATGCTAGCTTGTGGGCGGAGTTCAGGCTTCTCGTTTTCAAGTCTTAGTGATTAGTGAGAAACCAAGGGTTTGTTCCTAGGAGAAATGCTAGTTGAGCGCATATGCAGTGGCAGTTGCCCGCCCTGCAGGGCGAATCGGTTTGCTTCACTTGGCGACGCTGGACTGGGCAGGCACGGATCTGCCGGCCCACGTGGGCAGCGCAGTCAGATCACTCTCCTTCGAGCGATCCAAATTTCTTTTCAGTGGCGGCTGCCTGCCTGCACCTGACAGAGGCATGTTCAAGTAATAGGTGAGTAGCCAGGAGCCCTCCTTTCGGGTCTAATTGCTCTTCGCTTGGGACCCAGGTGATGACCGCAACCTTTGCATGGTGGATGCATCTCGCTGGGTTACTCGCGGCATTAGGCCGCAGTTGGAAAGATTTCCTGCCCACCGCGCGAGCATCACATGTGTGCAAGCATGTCCTGACCATCGACATCCAGCTTTAGTTTCTACTTCCTTGGACAAGGTGGTCAAGGTTTGGGACTACCGAAGACAAAGAGTTCTGCAAACATTCTCTTCACACTCCGCAGGTGTAACAAGCATGGCCTTCGAGCCAGATGGTCACGTCTTCGTGACGGTTGGAGCCGACGCCATGATCTATGTCTATGCACCGGTCCACGACGTCGGAGCCGACGTCGGGGCGCCGGCGTCCGGGGCTCCACAGGAGGATGTCAAGGTCAAGCCTGGATGAGATTTTTCTAAGCGCTCTTTCGGTGCTCGCTGCGGCGAAGCATGGCAGAGCCTGCTCGTCCCGCCACGGGCTTGAAGTGTTTGCCGGCAGGCGATGGAAGGAGCTCTGCGCTCCAAGAATCCCAACAGCATAAGCTTCATTGCTACCTGTGGACAAGAAGTCCCTTGTTTCAGATTCCGCCTGCCGCTAAACATTTCCTTGTCACGGCATGGCCTTTTTGCAGTAATTGAGAATCCGCCTTGACAAGGTCGGCGGTGCGTCATGAACTTTGCAATGACATTTATATATAATGCCCGTGCTGTCTCAGTCATGCAAATCAGAACTTTCAACCCACAAGCAATTGACGCGTCTCAAGACGCAACGAGCATACTGATTAAGACACTCATAAGTACTCATAAGTACACACACACACACACACTCACAACCATATACATCAATATGTATATATATATATATATACTGTATATATATATATATATGTATGTGTGATTATGTGTGTGTATATGTATATACTATATGCATATGTACGTTCAGATATTCATATAGTCATGGTGGTCTCCCGCGGAGTGCTAGAGTAAAGCGTGGGAACTCTTTGCCTTAAAGGCATGGGCCGTGTCACTGGTGATCCTATTGACGTACCATATGGCCGACGGTAAAAACAACAGAGGGTCTTGCAGGGAGCTGAGACGCTGCGCGAGTGATTGCGAAAGCGAGATAAGAGTCATCAGAGTAAGGTAGACGCCAGGGGGTTACTACTTGCAACACTACCAACGTCCCAGGGGTCAACTCCCACAATAGAGACCTTAGGTTGGGAGGCCGCCGCCCCATCGGAGGCTCTTTTCCTCCCAGTCTGGGGTCACACACTCGCATGGCATCCACATTTTCCGGGCCATCTAATTTTGCCAGGGATCCTCTGCACCCCAACTCCTTCAGAAGCAGTGGCCAATGCTGGCAGCCCAGCGACTGCACCGGTCATCACTTCTCCCTCCTCGAAAGATGCTGCTGTGCCAAGGGCTTGTACGAAGGAGTTCCTGCAGAAGGCTTTGAGAAGGAGGTTATGGTTACCGCAGAGAAGATCTCCCGGACTCTCGACACTCTGCAGGCCAGGAGAAGCATAACCTTCACCTCGTCTAGCAGGGCCGGAGGCACCGCAGTCGAGTTGAGAGGCCCGCTGGTCGTCTTGGTTATGCGGAGATGCGGTAGACAGAGCCTCAGCTTGTGGCATGCAATCTCAAACTACTTCGGGCCTCGCAATTTGCAGATGTCCTATCTTTGCATGAGGAAGGATCGCAGCACCCACCTGCCCCTGCAACGCGGTCGGTCGGCTCGTCGGGGCCGGTTTCTGACCGATCGATGCTCCAGACTCCTTCCGAGTCACGCGGTCGATGGAGCGGCTCTCCCGACGAGTGCGACCTCGAGAAGTTGCAGCTTTACCAAATCCCTCAGAAGAACTTGGAGCTTGAGCTGCGACAAGAAGCAGCGCGGCGACATGTTCTTGAGGCCGGGCACCGGGGAGCAAAGTTTGGGATCCCTCGCCTGGTCCCTGAGAAGGCTCTGCGCGCCGGCACCGCGAAGCATCCTCGGAGCCGCGGGCCCTGTGGCTTCCACGGTCCACGCCCAAGTTGGGTTGAGGCCCAGCTGGCTTGGTTCATGCCTTGGGATGCTCTGAGGTGCTGAGGATTGGCAGGGGAGGGCGACGCAGGCAGAAGTCGTCAAAGCTCGATGCAGAGTGAGTGTAAAGCCGCATCCTTCGGTTCTTGCAGTGCAGACTTCTCTTGGTGCCTGAGTGCGCCCTTCTCCTTTGCAGGCAGCAGTTCAAGCCCCGCGCGAAGCAAGGCCGCGGGGGTGGTGGTGGTGGTGGTGGTGGTGGTAGTAGCAGCAGCAGTACTTATTATTGTTATTATTATTATTATTAAAATTATTGTTGGTAGTAGTGGTGGTAATGGTCGTGGTAATGGCAGTGGTAGTGGTAGTGGCAGTGGTAGTGGTGGTGGTGGTGGTAATAGTAGTAGTAGCAGTTGTAGTAGTGGTGGTAGTGGTAGAGGTAGTAGTAGCAGTCGGCGTCGTAGTAGTAGTAGTAGTAGTAGTAGTAGTAGTAGGAGTAGTGGTAGTGGTAGTAGTGGTAGCGGTAGTAGTGGTAGTAGCGGTAGTGGTAGTGGTAGTGGTAGTGGTGGTAGTAGTAGTAGTAGTAGTAGTAGTAGTAGCATTTGAGCATTGCACGCAGCGCGGACGTCCGGTCGCCTAGCGTAGGGAATGTAGTGAGCAGGCGTACAGCCCGGAGTCTTCGACTCGTGATTCGTTGATCACCCCGCAGACCAGCGCACACCGTCCCGAAGGACCTAGAAGAGCATGTGCGCTGCCAGAAAATGCTACGATCCTTCCCGGTCTGTGGCCATGACATAAAGCAAGACATAGCAATTCTTGTAATGGGTAGCCTTCAGTACCGGAAAGGATTTGGCCAACCGCCCGTCGTCACAACTCCAGAACTTGTCCGCCTGGAGCAACGAAGCAGTGTAATGCCCCGAAGAAGGCCCCTCGCCGTGATGTTCTATGAAAGCTCGGAGTTGGTACCTTTGCAACCGAGTAGAGTGGCCTTCCCCATAGAAAACCGGCACCCGGATCACCAGATCTGGCATGACCTTGATGTGACTTTTGTGGATTCGCCCTCCTCTGTAATCGAATCTGTGAAGCTGGAGTAGAAGAGCTGGGTGCGCGACACATAGTGCATGAGAGCGATCTAGACTCCTGTGCCAATCGTCCAGAAGAGCTTGAGCCCTGAGCAGCGTCTTGCTTCGCTGGTAGATGTAACAGTATGGGCTGAGAGCAAAGCCCCTCATCCAGACGACGCGATACCCCTGCCATGGCGGGTGATCTTGCCTGCCATGAGCCTGTGAAGAGTCCACAATCATCAGCTTGAAAGAGAAACGACATGAATTCACATATGTCATGTTGGCGATGCGCCTCTCCCCATCCGTGTAGTAAAGAGCACCATTGTGCATTCGTCATCAAGTCAATCCTGGCACCAGCACTGAGACGAAGCATAGAGCGGCTGAACTCAAGTCCCGGACCGGTGGTAATATCCTCAGGAACTGGAATTTGACAAAGAAGCCATAGAAGAACCTGCACGGTAGAGTTCATGTAGCATACGGAAGAACGATTGACAAAGACGAACCTTAGGACTTTGGAGGCCGAGGATGTAGACAGCGCAGCGCTCAGCGTCGGCCGAAGACCATGTCCCTGAGCCGCTGCTCCTCCGGGCCTCTGCCCAGAGACTCTGTCTTGAACCCCATGCCCACTAGCTGAAAAACCGCATTCCCCTGGAGGGCCCTCATGGTGTCCCACATTGTCAATGCACTGTGGCTGCGCAAGGATATGTCCATCTTGAACGTTGCCGGAGACGACATCGTCTCCGTCATCTTGCGGGTGCAGCAAAAGCGGGTGATGATTACAGCTTTCAGGCACTGGGTGATGGTGGCCAAGTGATCCAGGAGTTTGTCGTCCGGGATTGGTGGCCTGGTCCTGTCGTGCTCGAGGTGACGCAGAGTTCGGTTCCATACCTGGAACCTCCATCCTTTGTCGTCCCGCCAGCCTTGCTCCATGACCGCCTTGAGGCGATCTTGCGAGGCCAGGACTTTGTTCAGCCTGTCGATGAGTTCCCGGAAGAGGGCATTGGCCAACACCATACGGAGTGGGAACTGGCCCAAGGCCCAATGACCAAGTCGGCTCCGCTTCCTGCTTCGCCTTGAACTGTACAGCAACCTGATACAAGTGGTGCATGATTGAGTCCTGCCCCGGCTTCAAGAAAATGATGAAGGCTGTGTCCTGGCGTAGAAGACGTAGTTCTTCTTGTTGGCGCAGCACTGTTTTTGTTAAAGTATGAAGTAATGGATCTCTGTGCTGCGTTGGCATCGGAGTCTGGTTGTAGTGGCTGAACGAGTGTTGCTGATGCTTGTTGCCCACAAAGGGTTCCCGTCTCCTTTTGTTGGGTCCATTGTCCAGCTGGCTCTCCGTTGAGTAGTCTTGGAAGGGATCCGGCGGAAACGGACTTGTGTTCCGTGAGTCCCTGACCCCGCCAAAGAAAGCCTCCATGTCCTCGTCCATCTATCGTTCCTGCAGCCATGATCATCTCATGATACGCACACATAAAGGCGATTTGCCGTGCATTTCAGAAGATGCGCCCTCCAGTCCTTAGCCTGTCGCTGGCAGTAGTGGCACGTGCTACACGGAGTGGCTCGCTGTTCGATGATCCGCTTGGCTGTCTTACTGAGCTGCTTGAACAAAGTGTCATGTGTATTCTGGAAGTGGAGCTTCATGACCCGCTGTGATACAACCCATTGTCCACAAATGACACAGTAGTGTTGCATGTGAGCTGCATACGACGGGAATCGAATGAAGCTATTGAGCCCTTGTTCAACGAGATGTTGTACATGTGGTCTTTGTATCATCGGAAGCGTCTCGGATGTGTCAGCAACGGGCAGTGCCAGTGCGATGGTCTCTCGATCCTCGAAACTCTGAGCCTGGTAGTCGAGGGGCGGGTCAGGCTGTCTTGACTGAACGTTGGATGTATCGGTTTGTGTTAGCGCAGCTGTCCTTTCCTGCACTGTGGTGGACTTCATGGCCGGACACGCATGATGATTGATATGCCACTCAAGAGTTTGCCATCTGCTGAACTTTTTCAAACATCCCGAGCACTGTGGAAGACCCGCCATCGAGTGTTTGGTGCGGTCAAAGACCTGAGCCGGACTGTCGACCAACTTGTGCTTTCTTCTAGCGTGTATCTTCAGGGCCGCTGTTGTGGGGAACTGCTCCAGGCAAACTGGACAAGTCCACACATTGGATTCCTCATCTGAGCCTTGCACTTGGTGCATTGCATCCTCCTGCAGGCTGCGACTGATGGCCTGGTTGTAGTCGTGTTCAAGGATCCAGTCTCCTAGGCGAGCCACCTGAAGCTCGTTGTCATGAGCCTGTCGCAGAAGATCATGAGCTGATTGGACCTCATACTTGGCCGAAATGAAGTCATGTGTATTGCCGGTGAGAAAGGCTTGGTCTGAGGTGATAGCCCTGATGTGCTTCATGATGGCGCGTTGTAGATATCGAATCTGCCCTGGTTGTAGGCAAAGACAATGTAGGGCATACATCATGGAAGACTGAACGCAGCTGCGCCACAAGCGAAGTTTATAAGGAATGGACACGCGCTTGGCGTGCAGGAGCGATGCCAAGGCCCAGCGCCGCTTGTGCGCCTTGGTGACTCTGTGTCTCACCGATTGCCACTCGAACTGTTCGTAGGAGACAATGAGGCCTAAGTACTCCGCTTTGTCAACCAGTGGGATCCATTCTGTGGGGTCTCCCGGGGATAGTAGTAGTCGACGAATGCCGTCCTACTTCCGTACGTACAACTTGTGTATCTTGTGACGAAAATCACCCGTGATTGAAAGAATGGCCTGTGTCTTGTCCCGATTGACCTGCATGCCCAGTCTCCTGAAGACAGCGAACGTCCAATTAAGCTCTTGAATAGATTGTTCGAACTGGGCTACGGTCTGGAAGGTCCAGCGCAGGTGGCTGTCGTCAGCGTAGAGAGTGGCATGATCGGAGCACCATGATTGCCTCATACGCAAATCTATAGCCCTGCAAAGTAGAGCCGTGAAGGCCGACCAGAGCACCGGGCTTCCGATGCATCCCTGTCGCAGTCCCCAGCTGGGCCAGATTTCCTTCTCATGTTGTTTGTGGCGAAAGATATACTTGACCTGGCTTAACCATTGCATGAGGACCTCCTGAATGGAGGGGTCGATCTGTGCGAGCTCCAGCGCCTCACGAACAGCACCCCAGGAGACTAAGTCAAATGCAGCTGTGAGGTCCATACACACTTGTAGTCCCCCGCTGTTGTGGATCTGCTGTACTCCTGCATGTTGCTGATGTACAGTAAGCCGATGGTTGGCCGCTTGATCTCTTACATACCTGCAATGATTAAGGACTCGTTTCAGTGCCGTGAATGTGTTCCGATGCGGAACATAAGCGCACTGAGGCCAATAATACACAAGTTGATGAATCTGGTCCTTGGCCCTGGTGATGAGGATCTTCATCAGTCCCTTCCCGATGGGGTGTTGCAGGCCGATTGGCCTCCATTCCAGCGGTTTATCACTCTTACCCTTCGGCTTAGGGAGAAGTGCAACAGAGGCATCGGCCCAATCCTGTTCTACTTGTAGCTCTGGCTGCTGCCATTGAAGGTTAACCTGCTGGGCAATGAATTGCGCAATCTCCGATGAGCAGGCCCGCCAAAGGACCGAGGGTGCAGCCGATCGCGGTACAGCCTTGCGGACAGAGAGGTGCTCAAGTTGATGCCATACCTCCGCCACGGAGACCTGAACCGGTGGATACTGCCGTGATCGGGTGGTTTGGGGAGGTGTTCTAGCTCCATATCGCGCCCCGAATGCCTCTATGATCCAATCCAGTTCCGCTTCTGGGGTCATGATGTGTCCGTCCCGATAAAGCTGCAAGGGCTTGCGCCGGACCTTCGGAGCAAGCGAGTGTACCACTTTCCACACCTGGTGCATGTCGCCTCTCCGCGCTGCTTGCTGAGCCGTGTCCAACAACTCCTGCTTGTAAGCTTTGCTTTTGGCTTTGGCTTTCTGTTTATGGGCCCGGTGTGCCTGCACAAATTGGGCCCATAGTCGCCATGCTGTGACCACGCCTTGCGCTGTAAATGTTTGCGAGCGCATACTCCGAAACAAACCCCACATATGTCTGGCCCGGTCATGTAGTTCATGTCTGACCGCCTCGTCTGGGGTGCTGACGGATGACACCGGGTACAGTTTGGTCGCGATGTCGATGATGCCCTCCTCCAGTTGCTGTAAGCTGATCCAACTATGATCATCGAGTCTCTGCTGAACCTGTTGTCTGAGAGCAGCGAGTGCCACGGAGACGGTAGGAGACCTGATGTCCGCAATCAGTTTTGATGAGTCCAGTTTAGGTCGTATGGGTTCATGTGACCTTCTATTCACCGAGTGAGGAACCTCCAGCAGCGTGTACACCGGGTGGTGTTTCGCCCCGTCTCTCCAGCATGCCACCGGGAACTGAGGTAAGATTTCAGCTTGTTTAGCTCTGCTGTTGGCCTGCGTTTGTCGACACATGATGTAATCTATCTGTGAAGAGAGCTCTCCGAACGTGAAGGTGGCGAGCTGCCTGTGAGTCGGCCTATTCCACGTGTTCAGAGCAGTCAGAGCAAAAGCTGAGAGGATTGCCATGAGGTCCTCGGACTCCTTGTTGTGATGTTCTCGAGATAACATAGACATAGTCCATCTGCCGCAGACCTTGTCCATGGTGGTACATGTAGTGTTAAAGTCTCCGGCAAGGATCAGAACATGTCTGTTGGGGATGCCTCGGAGGGTCTTTTGGAGCTTCGTGAGGAACTGCTGCCTGCGTACGGGGGTAAGCTTGTGATCATTGGCAGTGTACTGATAGACGTTCATAACGTCGATGGGGTGGGATCGATTGATTCTGACATGTAGAAGCCGGCCCGGATGTGCCGCATGAAGTTGTATCTCTGAGGACTTGGCTAGTCGAGTCGAGACCATTGTCAGTAGCCCCCCGACTTTGTCCTCGGAGGCTGCACCTGCCGAGTGAATAAAATGGAAATCTGGGGTGCTCCAATTCGCATCGTAGGCCCACCGCGTTTCTTGAAGGACACAAATGTCCAAGGACGCGTCGGTTGCGTAGGTCTCGACCTCGCGAAGAATCTGTGCATGAAGACCTCCCGCGTTCCATGTAAGTATTTGGAGCGGCCTCCTGTTCTGCACACAGTCTGATGGCCGATGCGTCCTGGGCAGTGAGCAGGTTTTGATCGGTACCGGCCGGAACCACTGATTTTCTCTCCACACTGCTTTGTAGTACGCCCCGCCGTTCCTGCAGGCACGGGAGAAGGCACGTTTGTACGTGCGTTTGATTCTGGTGCTGTCTGCATAAGTGGGCCATTCGGCCTCCCTGGTACCCGCAATCTTTGTCGAAACTTCAGGCATCCTAGCGGGGTCGATGCCAACCCTCACCTCTGTGTGCACTGAACGGGCTGCTTGCATGTCAGATAGAAAGAGTAAGGCAAACAGCAATCGCGGAGAGATCGTCCTGTGCACACGGCCAGACTTGGGACTGGCCCAACCTGAGAGGGACGCCGCACTGATGCATCTTGCCAACGCTGATGGCAGAGTCTGGTATAGGAAGCTGATCTGGTGAAATATGGTGTCCTGCCGCATGGTAGTAGAGCTGAAATGGCCCGGCCCATCGAACCTGTGTCGGCGTACACATGTTTGTCTCAAGCTGCGTGATGTTGAACCCGCCTGCGTGGAGCTGAATGTGGTCCCCGAAGCAGAGTCCGTGAAGGTCGAGGTAGTGTACCTGGCCGTCATAGAGCTGGGTAGGATGGGAAACATGTAGAGGTAGAGCAGTATCACGTACATGCCGATTGCAAGCGCACTGTAGAACACTGCTGTTTTCATCCAAGTCAGCCTGCTGATGGCAATGCCTTCGTCTGAGCGGTCTGTTAGGACCTTTGCCCCTGCGAGAGCCAAACACCCAGTCCTGACTTCTGTTGCGATAGGACCAGGATGCCGGGGACCTAAATCTACGTTTCTCAAGGCTCGGTGTCCCTCATCCTGTGCGGCGTCGCCTAAGTCAAAGAAAAGGTTTCCAAGGCTTGAGAGTTTGGGACTGAGGCATGTTGCTACGCCGTGCTTGCATTCAAGGTAGGATCCACACTTTCTGCCAGGTGTAGCTTTCGGCGCTGTTGTCTCAGAAGCCGGAGTTGGAGCTCGCCATCCCGGTGGAGGGCCTGGTGGTGGAACTGGTCCTCGCCATCCTGGTGGAGGGCCTGGAGGTAGTGGTACACGGCCCGTCGAGGAGGTTGCCGGAGCGGAGGTTGCCGGAGCGGGATGTGCTGGCTCGACGTGTCCATCGTGATCCGTCTCTGCCTCCTCTTCGTCGTCCTCGGCCATGAGCTCGGCGAAGGCCAAATCGCTCTCCAGTCGATCGAAGGCCTCCTCCACATAAAGCCTTTCCACTTCAGCCGCCGTCATCCTCGTCCGGCCCTCGCCTTCCATCTGCTCCGCTATGGCCGCCGACGAAGAAGGGGCCTCCGGGCCTATGGTGTCACAGTCATCCCCAACGAAGAGAATGTTCGGGTGCTCCTGGTCGTTGTGGCGGAGATGCTCTACCCTGACCGTGACCGAGGTGAACTGCTGCCAGTCGAAGGGGACATGCGTCATGATCCACTGTGGATCCAGGCCTGACTCCCGCAATGCCTGTCCGATCGCACTGGACAACCTATGCGACAGCGGTGCCAGTACTTGGATCGGCTGTGGCGGCGGGGGGCCTCGCGGAGGGCTCCGCGTCCCTGTCGGGGCTGTGGATTCGTCCGAGCTTTCCATGTCCGCAGATCCCTCTGTGGCCATGATGATCCGCGGTCCGGCTGGAGCTTGAGCCCTACCGTACATCCAGGAAGTAATGTGAACAGGCTTCGAGTCAAGCCAATGCAACAGCCGCACTCCGATCTCGACATGTGACTGTACTACAAACTTGAAGGGGCACCGTTCTGAAAGGAAGTCGATGCCCAATCCGCCGCCAAGCATTTGAGTGAGCCTGTGAAGCAAGACACGAAGTCTCTGGCCACATTGCTTAGGTCTGCGGCGCCTGCGTACATGAGTCCTGGCTTGAGGCCTGAGTCGCCATAATCTGCCCGTGCGGCCATAGTCTGGCGATGTAGGCACGCTGCTTGCTCGGCTTCCGTGGGGGAGCGCATTATCCCAAAGTTCAGTCCATGGTGTGAAATTCCACCACCCTGGGAGTACCACTGGGCCAGAGGTGTCGTACGATGGCAGGGTAGTACAGCCGAGCCCAAAGCCATAACTCCAATTCGCACGGTGGGTAGGGCGACCTCCTGGCCGCCCACAAGGAGATACCATGATGTGACGCCAGGTGTTCAATATCGAAGCTATCAAAGTATCCTGGGTCTTGCAAGTACCCTCCAGCTCGTCGGAGCATGCTTTCGCCAAGGCGCGCCAGCCAGTGCTGTCGGCGCTGAGAGCAGCTGAAGATCTCCCGGGCGTGCTGGTCCAATGGACTAACGGGAATCTTATTACTGCAGGGGTTCCAGATCTTGTCGTATGCAATTGTTGCATCTGTACCAGGCTCGCAAGCGCCTGTAGTGCAAGGCAGAGGGACCGTATCCGGAAATTCATGGTTTTTCCAAGCGCACGGATGGTCCCTATCCTGCATCGGCGCATCAG